ACTGGAGTTGTGTGTATGCATCTGATGAGACCTAATAAGGTCAAACTACGTATCATGCAAGTTCCAACGTTCTGCCGGTAATGCCAACATAAAAACAGTGATTATAATATACATAACGAGCAAAACACGAAGTTCTTGGTCTCCATGCGTTTCCTTTTATAGTCCACCACGCACATACGATAAGTTCTCTCTGTTAAATAACGTGGGAATTTACTTGGATCTCAACAAATACTGGATTTTGCCCATTTTCGCCGCCATTTTCTACCTGTGTACTAATACGTGATTCAATTCTACTAAAAGGCATTTTCCGCCTAATGTCAACCCAATGAAATAAATGGACAACCTCAATTGTTTGTTTCATCCCCCAATCCACAACCTTCATCAGCTATGTAATCTACTGTACGTATGTGAGACAGATGCTGATTGCTATTGTAGTTGATGTTCTGTTTGGTGTTGGTGGTGGTGAGTAATCGGAATATAGTGGTGTCCAGTAGTCCAGGTGCCCAACTACAAACCAGAAAATCGAATAAGGATAGTTGCTTACTTCTTTCCATTTCAATCGTGAATTGGAATTCTGACTGTTTCAATTTTGGACTTTTTCTATGTTTGTAAAAATTATCGATAGTAAATGGCACTTGCTAGGCAACAAGCGTTTGCTATCTTTAGTCGTTTTCGCAGCCTGCTGCTTGCTCAAAAATGAGTCACATAAGAATGTAACCTAACGGTGCAAAACGAGTAGCTGAGGACCTTCGATTTTCATTGAAGTGGTTTTTCTTCCTTTGGATTGGTCAGCCTACATGGCAGCATAGTCCTTCGTCGATACTAAATGGCAATTTGTAGGCAAGTAGCATGTGCCATCTTTTATCGTTTTCGCAACTGCTGCTTCCTCAAAACATGAGCCACATAATTGTGTCACACAAGAGTGTCACTTGGCGGTGTTATATAACGGTGCAAAACAAGAAGCTGAGGACCTTAGATTTTTACGGAAATTGTTTTTCTTCCTTCGTATTGGTCAGCCTACATGGCAGCAAAGCCCTTCGTCGATAAGACGGAGAAGCTGTGGTATTGCATCAGAACGCTTCTGCTGCCTCGCCCGAGATGCGTTTTACTTTACACGGTCTTTGTGGATGTTACGTTTGGATCGCCATACTAGGTACACAGTGCTTTTACGTGCTAATTAGAAAAAAAACGTGGTGCATACTTTGGAAATTTAGACGATAACTTATTAATAGTTGTTTTGCATAATGTTGCCTTAGAAGGCATTAAGCATAAAGATAAACCTGATTTTATCTTTCTGCACAATCTGTCATGGTTCTTAATGGAGAACATGTAATGCCTATGACAACTTATGTTTTGATGCAATTTTACGTGTCAGTTCAAGAAATTGTTCAGCCGCAAGAATGTGGGCGACGTTGGAAAAGCAACACGGTGCCGGAACGCTACCAAAACAGTAAGAAGGAAGCCCAACCAAACAGCTGGCCCTGGCATGTAAGTCTGCGGAAGGTGGTCGATGTTATTTTTGCAATATTGTTATTCTGGAATACGTATTGGATCGGAAATAAATAATGGCCTTCGAATTTGTAATGACCATTTTGCAGAGAATTATATTTTAAAAAAGCACGGAGGTCACGTTTTAATGAGCGTGTTCCCAGTAAACTTCAAGTTTGCTTACTATAGCACATGACAACTGAAATGCTCTGGACTTTCCCGCCAAAATCTAAATAACGTTTAAATTGCATATATAGTTTTGTAAACATACCTATAAAAAATATTAGTTGTTCAACAAATTCATTAACAAATATCGCCATTTCCATTTTCTAAATGCTAAGCAATTATATTTCCCCAGCTATATAGTTATTTCCTTTTAAGACATTTTTTTGAAGTACCTTAAATATATATTCGGGTAGTTCTTCTTTTGTTGTGTAGTGAGTACACATCAGGATCCTTGTCAATTGCAAATTGATATAAGTCTTAGGTGCGTTCTATATTTAATGTAGAAAAATGCGTGATTTTCCTCAGACGAACATTTTGCTAATGCGGTTTCGGAACTTTTGACTCCACGGATATGGCCGATTAGTTAAAATATGTATGAAAGGAAAATAATAACCTGTTTGTCAAGTTCAATATTTGGCAAGGTTGTAACTGTGCAGCAAGCAGGCGGACAAATAGAAAGAATTGATAGGCGTGTTGTAGAAGACATATTTGTGCTTATAAGTCAACGAAAGTTAATGAAAACATACTC